ATGAATTCATTCAAAACGGCTTGTGCATTTTTTCATTAACAAAACGAATCAATGATTTTGGCTTAAATTTTTTTTCAATTTGAGTGAATACTTGTTCTGATATACATATGTGTCGACATTATAATTTTCAAAGTTAAATTAAATTGAATTGAAATAAATTAAAATTTTTTGTATGAATATTCGAAAATATTTTTTTAATGTATATTAGACTGGATCACTTCCTATACAAAAAAAAAAAAAAACGGTTGGAATTATAAAATCTATTATATTTTAAGACGTCCCCCAAAAAATTTTGGAAAAATATTAAGATTTACGTGAGCTGGACCAATTTAAAAATACCTCCAAAAATGCAGTTTTTTATGTACAAAAATAGTTTCTTAAAGATTTTTTTGAAAAAAAAAATCTCTTCAAATGACTAAACGGTTTAAGCTTAAAAAATTTGCATACAAATATTTTTAAAGTTTTTCTTATACCAATCTTTGAAAAAACCTAAAAAACAGCTTCAAAAATCTCATTATTACGATTCCGTTGAAAGTATTTTTAAATATTTTTACGCAGATGTTTTAAGCTTAAGCGTAATTTTTATCTAAGGCGATTTGTTTCAAAAAGTTCTTTAAAAAACTATTGTTATTCATAAAAAGCTCCATTTTTTGAGGTATTATCAAATAGGTCCAGATCACGTAAATCTTAATATTTTGTTGAAATATTTTGGTGGACACCTGAAAATATAATAGATTTTGTAATCTCGGTGGAAAAACCGCAACTTATTTTGGTGATGAAGTCTAATGTACAATATGTACAAACACAAATATGTATGTGTGTATTGCGCACAAAAATATGTTTGTAGAAAAATACTTTGACCGAAATGAGTTTGAATGAATTGAATGTTTTTCAGTCGTTCATTCGTATTCTTTGATTTGAAGGAAGAAAATTTAAAACAAAATGTATATTCACAACTTACAAAATTCCAAATGCTGAGTGTTTTGTATTCAAATCTTCTGTACTCTGTTTGGCTAGAAGTTTGAATGAATTCATGCAGCCCTCTTACGTCCATATGCTCATCAATGCAAATACATGCAATGGAATGCATTTCAACTTGCTGCTTTTTATATTATTTAACACGCATACATAAGTACACACGTTCACGCACACATATATGTATGTAGATAAACACAAGTAAATCTTTTTATGTATGCAAATATGCTTGTATATTTTTATGTATGTGTGTATAGCGAAATTAATGTTGCTTCACTACCGGGGATTACATTTTGCTAGATTTATTTATTGTTTTTCTTTTAAATCAGTGATAAATCCGCAACGAGTGCCAGCGCTGAAATGTACTTGAAATGTGTTTCGTACACATAGCTATACATACATACATATGTATATTACGAATTTACATACTTTTGTCAACTGCAGATTGCCTACGGATACACTTGACTGAAGCTTATTTTAATGCAAGCCGATTAATTGGAAAACTGAGTGATTTCTTTAAGATACATATTTACATAATGTATTGCGCTGAGCAAATAAGAAAATAAGAAAATCACATGCTTCAAAGCAAAGCAAAGCAAAGAAGAAACAACAACCGTATAAAAAGCATAACGTCGTTTAAAGTACAAAACCGCGTATCGTCATTTTGCAAAACCGCGTAACTGACATTTGCTGCCAAAAATTGCATTTGCTCACAGAAGCTTTTGGCTCAATCCCTATCCATTCGTCCTGAAATATATTATCCAGAAATCTGGTTGCTTTATAAAAAAGAGAACCATTTTGAAATATGAGTGTTTTTACTATCTAGAAATTAATTTATACAACCTCACATAGGCGCTTTTACACTTCGTTGATACGCGGTTTTGTACTTTAAACGACGAAATGTATGTTTTTTTAAAGTAACATTTTGGGTACCAAATTCTTATTAATTGAAGGTATCTATTTACTAAGGTATTTGGGAGTTGCTAAACACCAAAGTAAAAAGTTGAAAGTATTTAGCGGACGCTGAATACTCTGATATATTTAAATTATTCAGGTATTAAGGAATTTCTCTTCTTCTTCTTCAGTCTAAATTCATATAGACTAAATACTTTGTGACTGAGGAAAAACTAAAGCAATTAACAACTTACGTTACACTCATCTGATCTCACCTCAGCTCAGCTCACCTGACCTCAAACCACGAAATAGTCCCGAGAATCCCGAGCACTATATTTTTTCTGGACGTTCTTCCCCTTATGTAGGGTTTTCGATATCTACTTATACATATAAAATTCTGGATGGGAACAGAATTACTACAAATTCTTTATGTTTTTTTTTATTTTTGCGAAATCTAAGTTTAAACACCCGCAAGCGTAATTTTTTGACCTTTTCTAACTCTAACGAAATACCGCTAACGGATTAAGGCTGATCCAAGCCCTTTTACCGTGAATTTATAAGTTTTTGTGTTATGACCGTCTTTCAGCAAACGTATACACGTACTTAAGCACTTTGTTGCTTTCTTGACTTACATTTACAAAGTTTTAACTTTTAACAACTTTCGCTTAAAATATTTCGCAAAGAATTAGCTTTTGATCAGCCTGGTCAATCAGTAAACCTAGCGGAGTTGAATAGTCTTATGTACACTTACGGCCAAAAGTATTTGCCGAGAAAATTTTTCACAACATATGCAACAATTGATATGTTTTTCCGCATAGTTTTTTATAAAAATATAATTCATACTCTAAACGACACAAAAATATGATTTCTAAACTTTGTGAAAAACTCAGGAAAATTCAAAAAATTTTCGTATACAATTTCAACATTTTGTTTAGATTTCTGGGAGTTTGCAGTTTTCAGTCCATACAATTTTAGCATAATAAACTAGAAGTTTGATTTTTGGAAATTTTTACAAGCATTTTCTTTCACACAAAAATTTAAGAAACTGTACAATAATTCTATTTTTAGAATGTTTAGATTTTAGGTGTGCTCGTCCTTAAGTTAATTATTTTTTTTGTGGCCTAATATCAACTATATTCAAAAATTTTATTGAGCTTGAGACAGTTACTTTGTATAGAAAAAATGCAAAACAGCTTCAAAAAATAAAAAATTTCAAAGATCCACGGGATGTTTTAGAAACTTCAAACTAGCATTTTTTGTACTATAATTCAATGCGCTATAAACCTGTACTCTCAAAATAATGTGATTAAAAAGCTGAACATTTGAGTAGAATTTTATTGAATTTCGTTGAGTTTGGCACAAACTACAGAAATAGCATTTTAATGCTTTTCGCTGTAGTATTAACCATACTTAAATAAAAGTTGTTGCATATGGTGCGAAAAATTCTCTGGGCAAATACTTTTAGCCCTGAGTGTATATACCTATAGTAGTATGTACTTGGCTAAACTTTTCAAATCTCAAATCTCACTAATTTTCAAAGTTTATTTTTCTGCGCGCTTACGAAGTCGCGAGCCAATACGATTTTTAATTCGTTGAAATTGAATTTCTTGCACAAATATTGATTCAAACTTTTCATTACACTTGACTGCGCCAGTCAAAGTTCGTTCGACATGCATACCAATATAAATATGTATATGGTGTGTATGCACGTAGTTCCTATACATATACACTGTGAATTGGTTGTAGTTTTCTTATATTTGGTATAACATTTCTTTGCTTTCCTAAGTTATTCTTCCTCTGATCATTTTGTTGGATTTTCTAATTATTATGCAGGCGCAAGTTTGCCGTTAACTTTTGTAACAGCTAGTACTTTAGTTGTTTGCGCTTCCTGACTTGACTTAACTAGCCTGCGTGTTTGTGTTTGCGCGCGTGAATGAGTATTGTGTGCATGGTACATAAGGAGCCGACGGGCAAAATATGTATGTACATTAGGGTGCCTAATCAGGAAAAAAGTGGCGGATTTTCCACCAAATTATAATATCTAGATATCATATTTTAAGATTTCCGATAAACTATTTTGGAAAAATATTAAGATTTACGCGAGCTAGACCGATTTGAGTAATATCAGAATAATATCGGAAAAAAGCTTTACATCGAGTTAACAGGAATGCCCAGAGTCTAGCCAAGCACTTAGTTACTATTTCGGGACATTTCGAATCCAGGCTAAGGAAAGTTAACTGCCCAAAATGTTTTTGAAGAAGGTTGCCACCTGTTTGAAAATTGGTATTCAATTAAATTGATAAAATAAATGAAATATTAATATAAAAATAATTTTAGGTGCGCACGTACATATCTGTATATGTTTGTGTACCCAATGTATGAAAAATTAAAAATCGATGACTTAAACTTAAAATTTTTTCCTATAGGGTATTGTTATGTATTCTGCGTGAATGTGAGACTCAGACTTGTTCTGCATTCGCCATGTTGCATACCAAAATATCCATCTACATATGTGTGCACAAACAGGAATGCTTTGGGTAGTTTTTATTTATATACAAATACATATATACAATTGTGTATATGTTTGCATACAGTGTGCGTCAAAAATAAGTATACCCTGACGTTTTGAACATTTCATTTATGTATATTTTCCATACTAAATTTTTCTTATTTTTTATAAACATATACAAAAATTATACAACACCAAAAACCACGAGAATCAACTTTTTAATCTCATTCATAGCTCGGGAAAATGCAGGAAAATTTCTTCGAAAATTTAAATTTTTCATTTCGATTTCGTAGATAAATTTTGAGTAAGCAGTTTTTAATCCCTTACATTTTTTCCAGTACAGTCCATACAATATTTTGCTATGAAAAAAATTCTCAAAAATAAACTGAAGTTTTTAGATAATTACATAAAAAAAATTCTGAGAAACCGAAACGAAAATTTCGATGAAAATATATAACATTTCCCCCGAGTTCCATAAGGAATTAAAAAAATCGATTCTTGTGGTTTTTGCTGTTCAGTGAAGTATAACGCTAATTTTTTTAGTGAGAAAAAATATCGGGACAACGCTATTTTTGACGCTCACCGTATATATGTATATGTACATACGTTCGCGTTCACTTACTTATGCACTTTACAATCCAGTCTAGAGCTTCCACTTTATTTTTATTTTTTGTTTACTTTGTTTTATTTATCTTAAATCTTGGCAGTTTAATCTTGAGCTTGTTGACTTTCTTACTTTATCTCGCTACTCTGTTTTTCTTGTTTTATTATTCTTTTTAATTTACTTTTTATTTTTTTTTTGTAACGAGTTGCTGAACTTAATTCTTTATTTCCTATTTCCTGTGTTTATTGCCAATTGATTTTTCATCAGGTCTACGTGGCTTCACTTTCAATTACACGGATTTGCAAAGGACGCAAGCATCGAAGAATATTATAAAACTTTACCTTAGCTGGTAGAGCTTAATAGTTAAGAGGCAGTCTTCGGGAAGCGCGGGTTGATGTTGTTGATTTCAATTTTATATTAAGGAAATCGATAAATCAAAAGTTTGTGACTACTTCATTAGCAGCGGTGAGAAGTGGTTTACCTTGTGCTGACGTGGATATGAATGCATGTTTTTTTTTGTATAAAAGATCGCAGGTGTTATTTGTGATGCTTTAGTACGAACCTGAAAAGAAAAAGAAAGCGAGTCTTAGTCGATTTATCAAACATGTATGTATATGTATGTATGTACGTACATATTTCGTAATAGCAATTCATTCGAATTTTTTCATAGTAAGAAACATGTTTTTGAATAAAAATGTTTACTGGCGTTTTTTTTTAATGCAATATGCCGGAAAATTTTTTAAAGGTTTATTAAATTCGCAAAATTCGAATATGAATACGAAATATGAATCTCCCCATACACTTTTTGAATTTGCCATATTGGATCCGCCATTTTGAATATAGAAAATGTATTGTCATAGTGACCGCAATCAAACTTCAAAACCTTGTCCGCCATAAAAACCGTCATACATTATTTAAAAGTAAATATTTTTAAACGAACTTTCAAGACTATAACAGACTTTTTCCCTTAACCGGTTTTTGGAGAGAGAGGTGGCTCCAGTTGATGAAGAACGCCTCATATGTATGTATGTATATTGATATACCAAAAGTATTTTAAAAACAAAATTAAATATGTTTATTTTTATAAGTATAATACAAATTATTATTATTTTTTTTAACGAAATGAAACAAGCCGAACGGGCCGGGCGGGCCGAGCTCATTTTAATCACTGATGCATTTCAAACTCACTGTAGGAAAGGCTGCGGTCAGAATAAGGCTGTCCTGGTTGTTTAACTGACTCAGCCTTTGGACACTCTAGTATTTTGCAAGACCTCCTCACAGCACGGATCACTGCCCGGTTAGATTGGAAACAGGGAGCTCTTGCTCCACTCATATCTTCTACTCTCAAAGTTGCTTAGAGGATTAAAAGGTTGAGCAATTTCAACACTTTCTTTAAAATCGATAGTCGAGTTTTACCGCCGAATTTCACTATTTTAGATCATATTCCTTCAGTGCTGCTTGACTATCGACAAATATAAATAATGGCTTTACATTCTGGAATCCTACTACTAAGTAAAAGTGTAGCCTGTCTTTATATTAGGTAGGTCTCTGCTTGGAAGACACTGCAATCGTTCCATAGACGAGTAGAGGCCATCAGTGTAGATGCATATACATAATTCCCTTGAGGCGATCCAATTTTATTTCATCCAGTATTGCTGCATGAAACATTAGTAAATTCTATAAAACCCAGGGCAAACTCGCTAAATATACATTTAGCCATTCTTCACTTAGTTATGTATTATATCTGTACTTGCACCCATACATATGTATACCATACCTAAATGATTTGCTGTATAGAAACACATAATTAACAATGAGCAGCAAATTTTCACGTCATCAAAACAGCTTATTTGTAATGAACAAAAAACGCAAGCGTAGAAAAACCGACTTTTGCATTGCGTGGTGAAAAGAAATTTCTTGATTGTCAGTGCTTTCTTATCACTTCAGTTGAATTTCTACAAAAAATAAACAGCAGTGAGATCTAGAAATTATATTTAATACAACACCACTTATTAGAGCAGCAATTCATCAAAACACTTCTTCATTTCTTCTTTACTTTGTTTGCGTTGTCTTGAATGACTATACTATACACGGTGGGCAGGAAGCAAAGATAGGTTGCATAAAAATGTCGACAAAAACTGAAAGCAGGGTTGTATTTGTTGATATTTTTAGGTTAAGAATCCCTTTGAATTGAAATCCTAGCTGCTCCTGTTTTAAAGATATCAACATTTTACATAGTTATGATAGGACCGACTTTTGCGAAAGAGAAAAACATCCTTGTGTATTAAATATTCAACAATGTATGTGTGAGTAAATGTGTGTATATATATTATGTGAAAATATAAGTTTATGTAAGCTTTTAGCTGGTTTCAATCGTTTCCAAGGCGCACCACGTAGAGGCAACTTACTTTGCACCTCTTTGTTCTTTTTTTGGTTTTATTTTTTTATATTTTTTTCTTGCTTTATTTTTTTATATTAGTTTTTTGTTTCCTTTTATTTTTTTGTTGGCTTATCTTATAATATAGTCACACATTTTAGTATTTAAATATTTTATTATTTAGTTAAGTTTTTATATATGCTGGAATGAAAATGTCATTACAGTTTTCTTCAGGCGACTCACAAAAGTTGGTTTATCAATCATATTTATTTCGAATCTATCCCAGAATTTAATGAATTCCCTATGAACTGACTTCCCGGTCTGCTCGGACCATAATCCTAAACCATCGTTATTCAAGAATGAAATAGATTGCTTTAAATGTTTAAGGATAATATGGATTTTGACAGTTTGAGAAATTCCAGTACTTTTCAAAGCTGTGCGGAGTTCGTTAAGATTTTTATCAAAATTACTAAGATCCTCTTGTTTTGCGGAAAAGCATGTATTCACGATTTTGTTCATGGCTTTGAACGAGGCAATATATTTGGTATTGTTTTTACTGAGAGTTTCTTCCATACAAACTATGTTCGACATTTTTTTGTATGTGGCACTGTCAGCAAAAAATAAATAATTGCAAAAAATCAACGAAATTTTCTGGTAACTTCAGACTTGCACTTTACTAATTGGCTCAAAAGCTACATTTTAAACATTTTTCTAAAAGATCTGATTAGAAATTGTGATGAGATGAAAGTGTCTCCGAGGCAATAATTTTGTACGGCACGGTACTTATAAGTAATCTAGGTTTCACGAAAAAAAAATAAATAAATACAAGGTAACATTAAAATATCAGTCATTTGTTTCGTTGCTGTGAGCTTGTTTCAAAACTTCTGGCTTTTGCTATAATTGTAAAACTCTGTGCATGTCATTTTAACGTATTTAGCTACATACTTATATTAATCATCAACTATTGCTTATGCAAAACGTGCAACATTAAAAAAAAAAATCGCATATGAAAGAGCAACAACCTAACTCGTAATAATTTAAGTATACAAATTTTAGTATTTAGTATAGAAATATTCAATTGAAATACGCCAATATTAAAATGAAGCGCTTTGCACTTAACGGATGCTTTTTCATAATTAAGTTAAAAAAAAATTTATTTAAATTCCATGCTGTCTGTAATGGGATTTGAACCCTGACGCTCTGGAAATTAGCAAATTGTGGCAAGCATCTTCGTGCACTCAGCTACCGCCAGACATGTAAATGTGCATTCAAATGTTCAGTTTGATTCAACACCACGTGTGCGTGGTATGAAAGTATTGTTTTTAAGTACGAACACTTCAAAACGATAATCAAATAAAGCATATTCATGTTTACTATGCGTTATTTCCCCCAGTAAATTCATAAAATTTTTCTTAATATTACAACGCCTTTTTCTCTCAGCGTAGTCATTTTTAAGCAAAATTTGTGCAATCAAATCGAAAACCGGGACACTTAAATGAAACCCGGGACATTTTAAGGTTGGACCGGGACACCGGGACAAATAGTCTAAAACCGGGACATGTCCGGGAAAACCGGGACGTCTGGCAGCCCTACACACAAAGCGCATACTTTCATGCGATTTTCTTTATGATCGCATTTGGGTTCTGGATGTACAATAGTCATTATTTCCTGACAGAAGAGTACATAAATACCAAAATAAATCTCATACAAGCTTTGAATTTATTTACTTATTATGAGGAGTACCGTTGGCCTAAGTTAGAGCATTTTTATTTCTTGCACAAGCGCAGTGCGACTTGCCTGCGCTACTTGCTTATAGCAACAAACCTTTAATAAAAAATTACTACCGTATTATATAGCATACATAGCTTACATTGTATACATACATACATTATTGCGATATTGAAAGTGTTTGTAATGAGAAAGTTCACGCTACAGAAAAAGGTAATTGTGGTGTTTTATCTAAGTTGTATACCGGTAGCGCCCAATAAATCTCGATCAATTATTCTTTCGGTAGGAAAAAATGAAAATATTTCACATTGATTTGATCCGTTTTAGTGAGTTAAAAAAGAGGAACAGATTTGTATGAGATTTCTTTTCGTATAAATATGCTCTAATTATCGAGAAGTGCGCCTTCCTCTTTTGCAAATATATCCTATCAGAAGTATATAAAATGTGGATATCTTTAAAACAGGAGCAGCTAGGATTTCAATTTAAGCGGATTCTTAACCTTAAGATATCAACAAATACAACCCTGCTTTCAGATTTTGTCGACATTTTTATGCAACCTATCTTCGCTTCCTGCCCACCGTGTATAGAGTCGCTTGCTGGTTGTCCGGCGTCTTGCAAGCCCATTTCCTGCAAATGCTGTAGCGCAAATTGTTTAAAGATGATAAGGGAAATAAGTGAAGCGCTCGAATGCAATGTGATGTACATACATATGTAAGTGTGTACATATGTAGGGTGGTCCAAAAATGCATGTGAAAAAGAAAAGTCGGAATTTTTATGCTCTCAACCCCTAGGATTGTTCTATACAAAAAAAATGTACCTCTAGTTTTTAACCGACTTCCAAACAAGGAGGAGGTTATCAGTTCGTCGGAATCTTTTTTTTTTTTTTTTGTTTTTTTATGTATGTTACCGCATAACTTTGGACCACGTCAACCGATTTCGATAATTCTTTTTGCATCGGAAAGGTAGTGTCCCATACTAATCTGGTTAAGATCCGATCAGTGGATCATGAGATATATATATATATATATTTTTTTTTTATATGAGAGTTGAAGTCGGTTTTTTTTTTGCTAAAAATTACTTGTTTATTTTAATATTTAAAAAAATATTTAGAGGTCGCTCAAAGCGTTCATAGTTTTCAAATAGGGGTAATTTTTTTCCGAATAAGAAACAATCCTTGGGGGTGGGAGCATTAAAATTCCGATTTTACTTATTTTAGACCACCCCAATGTACTTCCGTAGGGCGCTTTAAACGTCGCGCAATGCCAAGGAAGGGCTTTCGAATTGACTAACAAGTAAGAAGAAAACCCAACTATTTTATCAAGTTGCCGCCTGCCGGATGTGTGCGTAAGAAATCAGTTGTTGGCGGTGGTGGTGTTGGCGGTTAGCAAGCGATGCAGAGCGACCGAGCAATTGCACGCAGTGATTTTGCAGATTTTAATGCGTTCTTCCTTTTTCCT